TAAAATAGCCCAGGAAAATGTTTCTTAAGATTGGTCGATAAAATATAGTTTAGGAAAAGTATCAATAAATTTTGTTATCTAAATATAAAATAGCTCAGGAAATTTCTCGATCAAAAATATCCCAGGAATAATATCAATAAATTTGATTATTAAAATATAAAATAGCTCAGGAAATTTCACTTAAAATTTGTTGGTAAAAAGTAGTATAGGTAAAGTATAAATAAATTTGGTTATCGAAATATAAAATAGTTTAAGAAAATTTTACTTAAAATTTGTCGATAATATATAGTCCAGTAAAAGTATGAATGAACTTGGTTATCAAAATGTAAAATAGCCCAAGAAAGTTTTTCTTCAATTTGCACTATTAAAATATAGTCCAGGAAAAGTATCAATAAATTTTGCTATCGAAATATAAAGTAGCTCAGGAAAATTTCACATAAAATTTGTCGATAAACATTCCAGGAAAAGTATGAATAAATTTGATTATTGAAGTATAAAATAGCCCAAGAAAATTGTTTTTCAATTTGGACCATTAAAATATAGTCCAGGAAAAGTATCAATAAATTTTGCTATCGAAATATAAAGTAGCTCAGGAAAATTTCACATAAAATTTGTTGCTTAAAAATAGTATAGTAAAGGTATCAATAAATTTGGTTATCGAAATATAAAATAGTTTAGGTAAATTTTACTTAAAATTTGTCGATAATATATAGTCCAGGAAAAGTATGAATAAATTTGGTCATTGAAGCATAAAATATCTCAGAAAATTTCACTTAAAATTTGATGGTAAAAAATAGTTTAGGAAAAGTATCAATAAATTTGGTTATCGAAATATAAAATAGATTAGGAAAATTTTTCTTAAAATTTGTCGATAATATATAGTCTAGGAATAGTATGAATAAATTTGGTTATCGAAATATTAAATAACCCACGAAAATTTTTCCTAAATTTGGAGTATACAATATAGTCCAGAAGAAGTATCAATAAATTTAGTTATCGAAATATAAAATAGCTCCAAGAAAATTTAACTGAAAATTTGTCGATAAAATATATTCCAGGAAAAGTATCAATAATTTGATTATCGAAATATAAAATAGCTCAGGAAAATTTCACTTAAAATTTGTCGATAAAAAATAATAGTATAGGAAAAGTATCAATAAATTAGGTTATCGAAATAAAAATAGTTCAAGTTTACTTAAAATTTGTCGATAATATATAGTCCAGGAAAAAAATCAATAAACTTGGTTATCGAAATATAAAATAGTCCAGGAAAGTTTTTTAAGATTGGTCGATAAAATATAGTCCAAGAAAAGTATCAATAAATATAAAATAGCCCAGGAAAATAACACAAATCTGGTCGTCGAAATATAATCTTGCTTAACAAATTTAGGCACTTTGTAGTTGACATTAATAAAAAATAATTAAATCAATAACGGCTCAAGTAGTAAGATGATGGTTGTTGTACAGGAAGGATAACAGCTGTGCACCTTTCAAGAAGACCCTAGAAATTCTGTTATCACCCGTCATCTTTCTCTGTGCTGCCTGACTGCCTGCATTTGTTGTTTAGGTTAGTGCTTTTATTTTTATTTATTTATCCCTATCCTCGATTTTTTTGGAAATTTTAAAAGTAAAGGGAGCGTTCAAGTAACACGTAAGTTCAATTTCGTTGATTTTACATTTGTCTCCAATTGTAAGATAATTTAATAAAATTGCTTCTGAATTAATTAATTGTTTACCTTACATACGATTTTCTATATCCCTCTCTTCCTTTTTTTAATCTCCTGCTCCTTAAACTTGCTTAGGTATTACTTGAACACCCCCTCAATATTAATTTGCTTTTGTTTTTAACTTTTTTTAATTTTTCTGTGTTGTTAATAACTTCGTACATACTTAATTGACACTTTAATATCACAAAAAGCTTTATCATTGTAGATATCATATCAGATAAAACGATTTGGGTGTAAAGCACAAGGTTTGGTTATGCATTTTCACAATTTAATATTAAAAGTTAAATTTTCATCTTTCTTTTATTCGTTTGTACACGAAATAATGACACAACTCAAAAACATATAGTTTCCAGGACTTTAAAAAGTTTTTTGTTGCCTGTGTTAAATAAATCCTGTATTTTCATACCTCTTTTGAGTTATGACGATCTTTTAGAAAATATGTTTAATAAATTTTCAACAATAATGTCCTAATTTGACTTTCGTCACTGTTGAGCATAATGTTCTTTGTTTATTTTTAACAAAACTGGCATATTTTGATTTATGTCACTAACCAAAAATTTACGTTCTTGTATCATTTAATGTCGGAGCACAACTAGATTTGTGTGGCTCTTCATCATCATAAACTCGTAACTTTGCAGAACCGGAAGAACGACACAAGCGCTTTCCAGCTTTTTTATTTGTTGGTACACAAGTATAGTACCACAACTCAAAAACAGGTTTTCTAGTACATTTGTTTTAAAGTTTTACTGTATGAAAAAAATTGTATATTTTCATCCCTCTTTCGAGTTATAACGATCTTCCAGATAAGTGTATTTCACACCATATTGATAATGACCTTTTTAACAATAATGTCCTAATTTCACTTTCGTCACTGTTGAACATAATGTTCTTAGTTTATTTTTAATGAAACTGGCATATTTTGATTTATGTCACTCTAGCCGAAAATTGACGATCTTGTATCATTCACTGTCGGAGCACGACTAGATTTGTGTCACTGTTCATCATTATAAACTCGTGACTTTGTAGTACGGGAAAAACGACACAACCGTTTTCCAGCTTTTTTATTTGTTCGTACACAAGAATAGTGACAACTCAAAAACTTGTTTTCGATGACATTTTAACGTTTCTGGTTTACTGTATTGAAAAAATTTGTATGTTTTCATCTCTCTTTGGAGTTATGACGATCTACCAGATAAGTGTATTTCACACCATGTTGATAATGGCCTTTTCAACAATAATGTCCTAATTTCACTTTCGTCACTGTTGAACATAATGTTCTTTATTTATTTTTAATGAAACTGACATATTTTGATTTATGTCACTTTAGCCGAAACTTGACGATCTTGTATCATTCACTGTCGGAGCATGACTAGATTTGTGTCACTCTTTTCATAAACTCGTGACTTTGTAGTACGGGAAGATTTTGTATTTGTTACTACATATTTTCAGCCTTTTTTAGTTACACCAATCTTCCGAAAAAAGATATTTCACACTATATTGATAATTTCCTTTTTCAACAATTATGACCTAATTTGTCTTGTGTCATTATCATTTTTAATAAAACTGGCATATTTTGATTTATGTCATACTAGTCGGAAATTATGATATTGTATCATTTTCTGTCGGAGCACAACTAGATTTGTATCACTTTTCATCTTCATAAACTTTGTAGTATTTAAAAAATATATATTCATCCCTCTTTTGAGTTATGACGATCTTCCAGAAAAGTATATTTCACACCTTATTGATAATTACTTTTTTAATTTGACTTGGGTCACTGTTGAACATAATCTAGTTTATTTTTATTAAAACTGACATATATTGATTTATGTCAGACTAGCCGAAATAATCGCTTTGTAGCTCTTTTTATTTGTTGGTACACAATAATAGTGACACAACTCAAAAACATGTTTTCTTTCTAGAACATTCATTTTAAAGTTTCTTGTTTTCTATATTAAAAAATATATATTTTCATCCCTCTTTTGAGTTAAGACGTTATTCCAGATAAGTGTATTTCACAACATATTGTCAAATACATTTTCAACAATTATAACCTAATTTGACTTTTGTCATTGTTAAATAGAAAAATTGATGATCTTGTAGGAGCACAACTAGATTTGTGCCACTCTTCATCGTCATAAACTCGCCAGTTTGTAGCACGAAAGGACGACATAACCGCTGTCCAGCTTCTTTTATTTGTTGTACACAAGAATAGTGATACACCTAAAAAACAGATTTTCAATGACATCCATTTTAAAGTTTCTTATTTTCTGTATTCAAAAATATATGTTATGGCAATAATGTCCTAATTTGACTTGTGTCACTGTTGAACATAATATTCTGAGTTTATTTTTTATAAAACTGACATATTTTGATTTATGTCATTCTAGCTGAAGATTTATGCTTTCACGCAGTCATTTTTGAAAGTTGCATTATGTCGTTCTTCCATATAAAGCTTTGCGGATTTTGCTATATATTTTCAAAAATGGAAACTTTTGAATTATGTCACTATTCTTGTACAGTAACGATTTTCCGCTTTACTTAGAATTTTTAAAGTATTAAAATTCGGAAAAGTATCAAATGATCATGCAAAATTTAAGATACTTGTGTCATGTCAATTAGTTTAACCTTTTATATATTTACTTCAATAAAACATTACGAACGTTTATTATTGTAAGTTATCGTATAAAATGTCAAAGATTGCGAATACAATAGCCCAGGAAAATTTTCGAAAATGCAGGACAGGTTTTTTTTACAAAATGTTTTGAAAATCATATGTATATATTGTATAAAAATTACCTTTTGCTTGATCCAAGTCAATTAAAACTTCCAAAAAAATATCCCAGTCCAATTTATAATAATTTATACAAGATGGCAAACATTTAAATAAACATTGGGATTTTGTTAGCCGTTCTAGATATAAAATTAGGTAGGCAAAAAATGCGTTTTTTACAAATAATTATTGCAAAAATGTAGTAAGCACAATTAAAAATAAAAACGAAAAAATATAATTGAGGCAATGCAAATTTTTTCTATCTTTAAAAGCAGAGATGCCTCCAATTTCGGTTTTTCTCATATACCTCTGAAACTGGACCTGAGATTTTAATTTTGAAAGAAACATTAAATTCGTTATTTTTCCGATTTGACCAATATTAATCTTTAACAAATACATCCCCATATTGTTTAATTAAATTTTCGCCATCCTATATAGTTCGCATAACATTTATTATTTCGTTTGTCCAACGTTCGTAATGTGACGTTATGTTTTTTCAGCTCGACGGTGGCCCACCCCTCGGAATTGCCCCCATCGCCCCACCAATGGGAATCGCCTAGGATAGTGGTCAGAAGATAACACCCGTTCATGTACATTGTACCAATTTTCGTCTCTCTAACTATTGTCTGAAACGGAGAATTTTTTTAGTGAATGCAGTTGGGTTTTTATGACGCGTTATCTCCAAGTCACTGCTTACAAAAAAAGCTTACAGAAAATTGACGAATTGCATGTAAGAAATTTAAAATACTAATTTTGAATCATTATTTACCAAAATTTCGCCGAAAGAAAGTATCTTGAATCGATTCTTACTAATACTTACATAAATTATACACCTTACATGTAAGAAATAGTATTGTAATACCGGTTACCTAAACTTACAGAAAATAGACATCTTACATGTAAGAATTTTAAAATATTTGAAGAAAAATTATATTATAAAAAATGTTGGTAAATATTTGTCATTCTAATTGTGATTTTTAATATTACAGAGGGATTAAGATAATTAAAGAAAAAAAATATAGTACAAGAGTATTTCGCGATATTTGGAAATTTTTAAAAATGTACAATTTGGTAAATTTATAATATTGAAAAAAATTCCTTCAAATTTTCAAATTTATGGTTTAGCAGAATATCAAAAGTTAAAAAATGTATATAGCACAGGAAAATTTTGTGCAGGGAGATTTAGCCAAAATAAAAACAAATATAGTACAAGAATGTTTCGGTGATTGGAAATTTTTAGAAATGTGCAATTTTCGATAGATTTAGAGAAATTTTAATATGGAACAAATTTAACTTCTGTCAAATTTAACTTCTATCAAATCTAACTTCTATCAATATTAATTTCTTTCAAATTTAATTTCATTTACCTTTAGTCAGATTTAACTTTTGTCAATTTCCTTTTCTGTCACATTTAACTTTTGTCAAATTCGTATTCTGACAAATTTAATTTAATTTTAACTTTATTCAAATTTAACTTTTGTCAAATTTAACTTAACTTTTGTCAAATTTAACTTTTGTCAAATTTAACTTTTGTCAAATTTAACTTTTGTCAAATTTATCTTCTGTCAAATTTAACTTCTTCAGATTTAATTTTAATATCTTTCAAATTTAATTTCATTTATCTTAAGTCAGATTTAACTTTTATCGATTTCCTTTTCTGTCACATTTAACTTCTGTCAAATTTAAATTCTAACAAATTTAATTTGAATTTAACTTTATTCAAATTTAACTTTTGTAAAATTTAACTTTTTCCAAATTTAAATTTTGTCAAATTTCATTTCTGTTAAATCAAACTTCTAGCAAATTTAACTTTTATCAAATTTATATTCTGTCAAGTCATACTTTATCAAATTTAACTTCTGTCAAATTTAACTTCTTCAAATTTAGCTTCTATCAAATTTGACTTCTATCAAATTTGACTTCTATTAAATTTACCTTCTGTCAAATCTAACTTCTATCAATTTTAGTTTCTTTCAAATTTAATTTACCTTTAGTCAGATTTAACTTCTGTCAAATTTAACTTCCTTAAATTTAGCTTCTATCAAATTTGACTTCTATCAAATTTAATTCTGTTAAATCTAACTTCTATCAATTTTAATTTCTTTCAAATTTAATTTACCTTTAGTCAGATTTAACTTTTATCAAATTTAACTTCTTTCACATTTAACTTTTGTCATGTTTAATTTCAATTTAGCTTTCGTCAATTCTCATTTCTGTCAAATTTAATGCTTGCAAATTTAACTTCTGTCAAATTTAACTTTTGCCAAATTTAAATTCTGTAAGATTAACTTTATTAAATTTAACTTTTGTCAAATTTGATTTTGGTTAAATTTAACTTTGTCAATTTAATTTTTTCGATAAATTTTGAGAAATTTATTATAAGAGAATTTTTTTTTTATTTTTAAAATTTGAGATGTAAAAAAGTATCACAAATATGGAACATTTATTATTTGCAAAATATATAGTAAAGACGGATACAAATTTACAGTACAGGAAAACTTCGATGCATCAAATTGAAAATCATATAGTACAGGAATTTGTAACTTAAATTGATATATTTACCGATTTGAAACTTACAGTACAGCAAAATTTTGTTCAAAATTTAAAATGTCATATAGTACAGGAAAACACAAATGTTCAGTGTTATTTCGAATATTTATAGTACTGGCAAATTTTACAAGAAATAACATTTTACTGTGTTATAAAATTCCCATTTTCATGAATTATCCTTTAAGCCATATTCTGTATATTTTTCTACTCCAATTTTTCTTTCCTATTAATTTTTCAAACTTAATAAATTTGACTGTACTATAAAAAATTAATAGTATCAAATTATTTTCTGATTTAAGATTACCAACATTTATGCAAAATTTTTGTGCATCAATTTATAGAACAGGAAAAATAATATAATTTTGGTAGGTGATTCAAAATAGGATTTTTCTGCATTTTCATTGAAAAACTTTATGACGTTTCGCAAGAATTTTATGTATTTTTTTTGTACAGTGGTGATAATGACGATTCGCCTTGTAAGAATCGAACTGCCAATAAATTCATCTCTACACCAAATATAAATCAGGGATTCTATGCAATGCAAATCACAAACAAAACTGAACAGTTTTTAAAGACAATTTGCGCTGATATGAAAAAAACAAAAACATTTCGTAAATAGTGTGTGTTTTTTCTTCGTGTATATTTTTAGTCGGCCAGAGTGTGATTTTATTCTATATAATAAGTAGATTTGCCTAAAAAGTCTAGAGAGTCGCGTGGTTTTTGACTTTTGAGTTTGATTTTTAATACAAACTAGTCGTCCGCAAGAAAAAAGTATTAAAATATTAATAATTAAAAGTTTCTGTCAAATTTAACTTCTTTCAAATTTAACTTTTGTCAAATTTAACTTCTTTCAAATTTAAGTTCTGTCAAATTTAACTTAATTGCTATAAAATTGAAACAACGTTTATCAAATTTAACTTTTGTCAAATTTAACTTCTTTGTCATTTTTACTTTTGTCAAATTTAACCTAATTGCTATAAAATTGAAACAACTTATATCAAATTTAACTTTGGTCAAATTTAACTTTTGGCAAATTTAACTTTTGTCAAATTTAACTTTTGTCAAATTTAACTTTTGTTAAATTTAAAAAGTTAAATTTAACTTCTTTCAAATTTAAGTTCTGTCAAATTTAACTTAATTGCTATCAAATTGAAACAACGTATATCAAATTTAAATTCTTACAAATTTAAATTCTGTGGAATTTAACTTCTTTGTCATTTTTACTTTTGTCAAATTTAACCTAATTGCTATAAAATTGAAACAACTTATATCAAATTTAACTTTGGTCAAATTTAACTTTGGTCAAATTTAACTTTTGGCAAATTTAACTTTTGTCAAATTTAACTTTTGTCAAATTTAACTTTTGTTAAATTTAAAAAGTTAAATTTAACTTCTTTCAAATTTAAGTTCTGTCAAATTTAACTTAATTGCTATCAAATTGAAACAACGTATATCAAATTTAAATTCTTACAAATTTAAATTCTGTGGAATTTAACTTCTTTGTCATTTTTACTTTTGTCAAATTTAACCTAATTGCTATAAAATTGAAACAACTTATATCAAATTTAACTTTTCTCAAATTTTCACTTCTCTCAAATTTCCACTTCTTTCAAATTTAACTTTCGTTAAATTTAGCGTTTATCAATTTAAAATTATTTCCAAATTTAACTTCTTTCAAATTTAACTTATTTCAAATTTCCACTTTTTTCAAATTTAGCGTCTATCAATTTAAGATTATTTCCAAATTTAACTTTTGTCAAATATAAATTCTGTGAAATTTAACTTTTTAATTTTTACTTTTGTCAAATTTAATTTTTATATAATTTTACTTCTAATAAATTTAAATTGCGTCAAATTTAACTTCTCTCAAATTTAAATTCTATCCAATTAACTCATATGAAATTTAACTTTTGTCAAATTTAACTTTTGTCAAATTTAGCGCCTATCAATTTAATTTCATTTCCAAATTTAACTTCCTTCAAATTTAAATTCTGTGAAATTTAACTTTGTAATTTTTACTTTTGTCAAATTTAATTTTTATATAATTTTACTTTTAACAAATTTAAATTCCGTCAAATTTAATTGCTACCAAATTTAAATTCTATCCAATTAACTCCTATGAAATTTAACTTTTGTCAAATTTAACTTTTGTCAAATTTAGCGCCTATCAATTTAATATCAATTCCAAATTTAACTTTTGTCAAATTTAAATTCTGTGAAATTTAACTTTGTAATTTTTACTTTTGTCAAATTTAATTTTTATATAATTTTACTTTTAACAAATTTAAATTCCGTCAAATTTAATTGCTACCAAATTTAAATTCTATCCAATTAACTCCTATGAAATTTAACTTTTGTCAAATTTAACTTCTTTCAAATTTCCACTTCTTTCATATTTAACTTTTGTCAAATTTAGCGTCTATCAATTTAAGATTATTTCCAAATTTAGCTTCTGTCAAATTTAACTTCCTTCAAATTTAAATTCTGTGAAAATTAACTTTGTAATTTTTACTTTTGTCAAATTTAATTTCTATATAATTTTACTTCAAACAAATTTAAATTCCGTCAAATTTAACTTCTATCAAATTTAAATTCTATCCAATTAACTCCTATGAAATTTAACTTTTGTCAAATTTAATTTCTTTCAAATTTCCACTTCTTTCATATTTAACTTTTGTCAAATTTGGCGTCTATCAATTTAAGATTATTTCCAAATTTAACTTTTGTCAAATTTAAATTCTGTGAAATTTAACTTTGTAATTTTAACTTTTATCAAATTTAATTTCTATATAATTTTCCTTCTATCAAATTTCCGTCAAATTTAAATTCTATCCAATTAACTCTTATGAAATTTAACTTTTGTCAAATTTAATTTCTTTCAAATTGAACTCCTCTCAAATTTCCACTTCTTTCATATTTAACTTTTGTCAAATTTGGCGTCTATCAATTTAAGATTATTTCCAAATTTAACTTTGTCAAATTTAAATTCTGTGAAATTTAACTTTGTAATTTTAACTTTTATCAAATTT